GCTGTGCAGATGTATAGGCAGCACCGAAGGTCCACCACCCGAATAAGTCGAGGTGATCGGGAAATGGATATGAGCCTAGTGGAAAAAATTCTAGAAGTAAGAAACATGTTGTTGCCATAGGGTAACACGGTCATTCTAGGTCGACTGAAAAGTTGACTGTAGAGGGACAGTTCCTGGCTGTGGTTGCACAGTCACAGTCAGACGACGTCGAGAGAATAAGTCACCACGTGCGTAAGAAAGGAACTCCTCAAGAGTCTTATGCTGAGGGAATAGGACCTCAGCAACCTGTAAAATTAAAATACCAGGAAGAAACCGAGACGTTACACGTATTTGGAGATGACGGATCAAGCGTAGGCTGTGAGTCGATGCAATTTGACACAGATGGCGCGGAACGCGTCATCTGCTATCAATCGCGTCAGCTGCAAATAGCTGAGCGCAATTATTTAGTTCATGACAATGAAATCCTTGCCATGAAGTACACACTGGCTAAGTTTCGCGTCTATCATCTGAAAAATAGACCGTTTATCATATGTACGGACTATTCGTCATTACGCAGGGCCATAAACAGCTACAACTCTCGCTATCAGTGGATCTTTACAGCAAAAAGAAGCCACTATCTGCTACCCCCAAGCAGGTCGTTTTATACGGATGTGTGCGTGCATTCTTCGACACGGTGTTTCGCCTCCATAGCTTAGTCCGTGAACTAGTCTCGGATCAATACCTCGGTTCAACGGCGATTTTTATGCAATCCGTGTTCGCACAATGAAAAAGTGGTTAAAGATGTCAACTTCTTACCATCTTTAACCAGATGGTCAGACAGAACGTGCCGACCGCGTCCTCGAAGAAATGTTTTGAGGATACGTCCACTCGTTTTCGAGTTGAATTGATTTCTCGCCGATCGTCTAATTCGCCATGAACAACTCCGTGCATGCATCTACAACGCATACGTCGCTTTACGTGATTAGCGTACGCCACTCAGGTATTCCCGGTCTAATACAGAATGAAAATAGGTTAAGGGAAGGAAAATAGATTGAACGAATACCGCTTTTCTCTTGCTTACGCATTAACGCACACGCCTTTACGTTTGATGCCGATGTCAACAATGGGAAGTTTTCCGCTAACTTAACACTTTGTCTTTCAGTGAGCTTTTTCCGCACTACTAAGAGGTCTTTCTCTTCTAAGCGATAGTATAATTGAACTCTTTGGCACAGTCATTAATGATTATTAGCATACCAGCATCTTCATCACTGTCTGATAAAGCAGTACCTTCATCGCTACTATTAAGCTCGCCTTCTTCGATGTCGACATTGTTGACATCGGCATCAAACGTAAAGGCGTGTGCGGTAATGCGTAAGCAAGAGACAAGCGGTATTCGTTCAATCTATTCCCCTTCCCTTAACCCACGGCCGGCTACACACCATTTGATGTGAATGGTCTCACACACCCTCGCGTTCCATTAACGCTACCACTGCGTGGTTCAGAGCTTGGTGGGGGAGGAGTTGCCGATCGGCTTGCTGATATCAGCCCTTCTACTGTTCAAAAACAGGTAAGCGAGTTTCTCGCAACGCAATTGAATGTCTTACGACTTGTGCGTGACGCACTGGCTGATAGCCAAGACAAACAGAAGGAACACGCTGATGCTAAAGGCAGAAATTGTATTATAAGTTATGAGGTCGGAGACCAAGTTCTACTCAATGCTAAAAACCTACCTACAAATGTATTGTCCGCCGTCTTCCAAACAAAGTTGCGCCCGCGCTTCATTGGACCATTAACGGTCTTCGCCAAGAAGTGACTTGCGTATACGCTCAACCTCCCGCGCAAACTGCGCACACACCCCGTGTTCTACGTTGGATTGCTTAATCCGTATCGGGATCCTTCTCACGTGAACTTAGAGGCGCTTGCGCCGGGTAGGTTGGCCTTGCCATCGGTTGCTGAATCCGTATCAAGAGGTCAAGCTGAGCCTCCATCCGGGCTTGGCCCTACTCCGACGCCTGGACACGGTCTCGCATCGCGTCAAAAGCACTCTGGCGCTTACCCAATGTCTCACGGAGACCAATCAGCTCGAGAAGCATCTTCTCATGCTCCTCCTTCGGTATACCGACCACCTCCAACGATGCTCGATGAGCAAGGGAACCGCCAGTTCCATGTGGAGCGACTCCTGAAACGACGTCGTCGTCAGGGTCAATACCAGTATCTGGTGAAGTGGCGAGGGTACCCGGAGTCGGAGAACTCGTGGGAGTTTGAGACACCCCTGCGGCAGGATTGCCCATACGCCGTTGATGGTTTTGAACATCGTGGCAGGGGTCATCTCTCGACCGAGAGCGCTTCTCACCAATAGTGGTGGAGGCAGGTGGGTTGTTGGGTCCCGCTTGACCAACACCCACTCAATCGGCACAGCCGGGGCATAGCGTGTGCGAGTTCGCAAATGACCTCTGGCCTTAAGCTTGGCGTCATCTTTCGAAGCTTTCGTTCTAGACGAACATCTACCACATCGGCACTTGCTCTGAGAGCTAACACGCTGCTGAGGTGTCGTTTCCGATGCACCCAACGAACAAAAGCGTTGTCTTCTTCCTCCCGAGATTCGCCTGCGAATAAGAGGATGGGTATACCCTTCATCGGTAGAACCGGTGCACCCCGTGCTTGCGTGTCAAGTCGCAACTTGTATTGACTTTGAGTCGTCAAGTGGGGTTGTAGGTACCTCTCACGAAGTGCCTGTCGACTCGCCACTTTATCATTAGATGTTGGCTCAGCGCCAATGGCCCACGTTGCGAAAGAACGACCCGTCGTTTGACGAATACGCTCTTCCCCACTGAGTGGTGTGAACAGATAGTCAAGACGACCCTCAAGGGTTGCAGCAAGCTTCATACGGCGCTGAGCGCTCTCCTCTCGCTGGATATCCAACTCTTGTTGCTCATCAAGCGGATTAGTAAATTATGGCATCGCCCACAAGAAGTGTTTGATGCGGCGCCGATGGCGCGTTGGCTTCGCCACTCTCGTCAAATGGGTTTGGTGCAATATGAGGCGCTGCCTCTTGCACTGAAGCGTCGGACATTGTCCTCTCGTCACCATCGATATCGGTATCGATACCATAATTAACCTTTACATCGATGCCGAGGTAAGACGAGAGAGTCGAGGACTCATGGGGTGGCGATGCCATAGTGTTTTGTGTTTTGCCAACCGTGAGGTTGAAGCGCACACACACCGTCCTCTTCGAGGAAAGAGTTCGAGTGACGTTTTGTGGAAACGTCAGTCTGGTGGGGAAGGATGTGACGGGGTTACACGTCGACTGGTAGTCGACAATATGTTTGGTACACACAAGGTATGGGATCCTCTTTAAAATAATAGTAGAATACAAGTATCAATTGTTGAAGACTGATGTCTGTCAACAATTGATTACAAGATCTTATAATAGGTTTATTTAGGACATAAGTGAGTAGGTTATTTACTTTGTTTTACGGTGTTGTTTTGGGTCAAAAGAAGAAATAAAATTCAGTTCCCATTTTGGTCAACAAAAGACACGTGCCTCTCTGAGGCGTCTTGCGATCGTAAGGAAGTAGCAACGCCTTGATAAGGCAGCTACTCCTTGTGCACTTAGTGCGATTGATTCTTTGAATCGTTTGGTCCCCCTGGAACAGGGACCGTAAGCTCTTTGAGCTTGTTGACTCTTTGAGTCGGGTTCTTTGAACCAAACCTTAGCTCTCGGAGCTGTTGACTCTTTGAGTCAGGTTCGTAGAACCAAAGTTGCTCGTAAGAGCGTTAAGTCTTCCTCTGACTTGAGGAGCTGTGTAGCTCCGCTACAGTCGTTTCACGTCAATGCGAGATCGCGGAACAAAAAAGGTCGGCCGTTCATACGAGCTCGTGACCATGTATGACGAGTACGCCCCAGAAGAAAGTGCCTGGTCAACGCTTTGTGTGAGCAACTCCCCGACCGGTCACTTCCGTTGTATCATCAAGACCATGCTCTCAGCGCTACCGGCGGCGCGACGGGATAGATTGACAATATTAATTTTAAGGTCGTCCAGATGCATCAAGATGGAGCTACTCTACGGATATGTGTGCGTGTTGAAGTCACATACAGCAGGTGATTATCTTTTTTTGTCGGACATTTCAGCCTTTTTAGACCGTAAAGTCTCCGTTGATGCCCCAGGTACCATTGACACGGCGTCAACTTCCTCTTGCGACATCGCAGTTATCCGTACTCCTCAACCTACGATATGTGATTAAATGTTAAGCCGCGGGTGCATTTTCAGTTACCTTATTAAGTATTTTTTTTAAATTAGCGTAGCTTGGCTATGTTTCAGGTGCATTTCTACTTGGCTTATACGTTATTATTCGAATTGACGTGGTCTGGATGTGATACCACTGTTGTAATTTGAACATTAAGTCTAATGGTTAGGCGCGCGGTGTATTTAGCAATAATGCCCGGTGTATTTAGCCTCTCCCTTATTCTTGAGAAATGATGAGTTTAGCTCAGGGTCGGGGCGAATGACCACAAGATCGGACATGTCATCTTTGAGACCTGACATACACCTTACGAGTGATAAGTAGCTCTGATAGACGATCTGACCTCTCTCTAGTATGGCACCTTGACAATCAGGTGACAGGCGCAGATGCGAACAGAAGAGACATTTGTTTCAGCCATGACAGTAAGGCGCGGCAGCAATAGGGACATGCAGCAGACGCAGCGTGTCTATCCTTCGCTTTGTTAGACAATAGTCAGGTTAGGGCAAACGAAATCATTATGTCATCATCTACGATACACTACTGCACAGTGCGCGCGTGTGTTGGCTCAACATGTTGAGGTATGCAGTCACTATTCTGAACGTCTTGCATCATCGACACACCGTACCCCGCAATTGCAGGCGTTGTAGAGTAGACAAACATGCAACTAGTCGCTCGTGTCTCGACGACAAAACAATATGGACGAGCTAAGCAGAAAGAACAATACGAGGTACACGCTCGCACTTGCTACTGGCTCAACAACATGCATTACCTTTGTTCTAGGTCAAGACGCTACTGGCCTTCTGTCTCAGGTTATTCAGCACACGCTTGAAGAATGCGCGCAGCTGATCGATGAACCCCTTGAACGCGGTCGCTACACCCTTCTCCGATGTGCTTTGCCGTCTCAATTGACTCATGGAGGTTTTGAACACCTTCGTAATCTTCTTAGTGAGTGATGTCTTCATCATGTCGCTTGCCCCTGCTTTCGCTTTCGCCTTCGCCAAGTCGTCCGCCGTTTCGGCGTTCTTCTGGAGCGACAGTGTTCGCTCGTACTTACGGACCGTCGACATTTGTTCCTCAGCTGCCTTCGCCTTCGCCGCATCTTCCACCGTTTCTGCGTTCTTCTGTGCAGCTTTACTTTGGGAGGGCTTGGCCTTCTTCTTGAAATCTTTACTTTGGAGGGGCTTCACCTTCTCCTTGAAAGCTTTACTTCGGAGGGGCTTCACCTTTGTCGTGAGCGCTTGACTTCGAAGGAGCTCGACGAGCGTCGACATTTGTTCCTCAGCTGCCTTCGCCTTCATCGCAGCTACTGCTTTCACAGCTTGGCTCGCCTGTTTCGTCGTCGTGCCAAACAAGCCTTTTTCTAAGACGCTGGTAACTGGCTTGCTTGCTTGAACAAGACCTTCACCGACGCCAGAGGTGGGGCCATTTCTGGCCTCCTTGTCAGAGGCCAGCGGTGGTCCGCCATCGTGCAGATCAGCTACGCCCAAACGCCTCTTCGTGTTCACTTCGTTGACGCGGCCGCTCGTCCTACGAACCACAGGAGAGTCACTAGACTCACGGACAGCCTTGGGGACCGCGTCGATGCAAACGAAGACGGTGATCAGAGCTGCCACTGCGGTGTAGGCTAGACGCATACTGTCTAGCCGGTCTGATTGATCGACAAATGTATAGTTGAGGTTGTGCTGGTACCCGTCAATTTGGACAATGACGTGCTGGGAGCAGCGCTTGGAGCTTCTCGACCAATGTTTTAGCTATCGGATTGAGCAGGTCTCACCCAAAGAGAGGATCGGACTGGCTACGACGCATCATGACGACCAAGAGGTCTGTACGGAGATTTGCTTCGCTCTTCTTCAAGCAAAGCTACATCGCTCGCCTCCTCGCTGGCTTTTTTCTGCCAGCTCAAGACGACGAGCTGGACCTTCCAGCCGAGTTCAAAAGCCCAGTCTGCCGACTCTTGCGCGATCTTTGTCCTTTGGTAGCTGTGGCCCCGAAGCCCGACTCGGGGAGAGAGATTGAACCAGAGCGTCGAGCAGGTGCTCAAAGATAGTTAATATATTGGTGTGTTTCTACTGAATCGACTTCATGCTCCGTCTCTCTGGCTCGAGACATTGGGCACGGAAGGCATTCCGATAGGGCACGAACAATCGGGGTTCCGATCCGGGTGCAGACAGGGTGCTGAAGTCGCGGGAAACGCTGGGCCGTTCTCCTACCAACCCCGACGGCGGCTGACGCACCTGGACGGGTCCGATCAAATCGCGGTTTAGGCAAATTCGCTTCGGTGGACCAGGTATCATGTCGGGGTCTGCGAGTTGAAGGCAGACGTAAAAGAGCAGGAATCAGGTGGGTATGACAACGGCTGTTGCCATGCCCCTCACTCCAGAGTGTCTTGGTTGCTGGTATTCTTCCGTTTGGGCACGCTGCGCTGTCCTTGTTAGCGCATGCGCGGCGAGAAGGCCTTCCTTCTTTGATCTGGACCCCACGGAGGGGGATTTATCGCCCAGAAAAGCGTCCAATCGCCCGAATCATAATAAATCTCCGTCGCTTGACTGTTGTTACGCAAAGGCGCAAATTTGGGAAGTAAGCCCAACACGAGAAGCGAGCAGGTCTGATTGCATGATACGCTCATGGACGAAATGACGACGACGACGACGACAACGCCGCGACATACGCAAGTCCGATCAAACGACGCACTTTATTGGTAAGAGCGCGAAGTCTGCTGTGCAGAGCCTTTTCGGTACATTCCTACCTATGCGCCGTCAGAAATTACGTGTGAGGCAGCGTCAAGTACCATTGAGCGGCATACCGCACAGTACTCCCCTCCAACCATCACCTTCCGGTATTTACCGGATAATCGATCGCAAGATTAATGTCCCCCACGACGGTGAACAGGAGCTCAAATGCCTGCAGCTCCGTATACGCAATTGAGCGCTGGTGCTCTCTGCGCTCCCGACACCACATGGCGTCCATCGCGCCGAAAAAATCTGTCACTGACGACATCGACATATGTATAAGGCGTTACAACAAAACGTTTTCACCGAGCACTTTGCCGCAACAACCAGCACCGACGGCAGTGCTTACGAGACTCCATCACGAGCTCGCAAGACGTGGTGACCTGCCGACGCCAACGTTGCCAGCGAAGCCTGGGCATACCGACCTGCGTTGACAGATAACAATGTTTGGGTATGCTACCAAGCAGCCCCCCATTAGGATTTAAGTGTACTATCCGTACGTGTAACGGGGCACACCCTTGCGTAACTTAACGCAAGGGTTTTGGGTGCCCCGACGGACGTACACGTGGCAAGCGAGGAAGCGTAGGTAGGGTAAAAGTAGAACTGTTATATTAATATAATTAAGTCTTTAAACTACTGTCTCTTCGTTTGACTTAATTCAATTATACTAATATAACTGCATGTATGGTGACGTCTCGTCACCACTCATTGCGCGCGTCTTGCGGCGATTGGTGGGTTGATATCATCACGATATCAACCAATGAACAGACCCTTTGGTCGACCCTTCAATATCACCACTTTGGTGATATTGTTTAAAGAATATCCATCTTTATATTCTTTATTGTCACTTTCCTTAAAGTGACAATTTCATGTAACGGGCTGCCCCGTTACATCACCCCCCTTAACTGATAGTCACCGTGTGACTATCGAAAATATGGAGGCCACCCGTTGGCCACCATTGGGACAGGGAGCACTTGTTGGGTCCGTTCCATTCACTTTCCGCTTGACCTCGCATAGTTAACATGTCTATGCGAGGTGACTCAAGACCCACACAGCCTGGTGCTGTGCAAGCCTCTGCGGCAGACGCTTCGTCGTCTGCCGCCCCTTCTTCGCCTGCAGCAACAGGTGCTGCAGGTGCACGCGGTATCACACCGCGTGCGCACGATGACCCTGATGTAGAGGTCATCTACTCTGGCGAGTCAGACGTGTCTGACTCGGGCAATGCTCCAGAGGCGTCTCGCTCACCGGCGACGCCTCAGTATTCGCCAAGACCACTGCCGAACGAACGGACTCGTGATTTGCATCACAGTCTGTTCGGCAGTGATGACGATGATCAGGGTGGTGAGTTCTATTCCTCACCACCGCCGGCTCGTGCGTCTTCGCACGAGCGTGATGACGATGGCGCGAGTCGTCGTCAATCTGGGAGCCGTGGTACCGACAAGGGTACCACTGTGAAGCGTGATGAGTTGAAGCCGTGGCGTTTGCCCGAACGGCTCATCAATAGCTTGTCTCACGAGACAGGCCAACACCATCGAATACCCTTATTCGATGCAACCGAGCTTCACGGCTTGAGTTCCAGCGCGAAGAACTTTCGCGCTGAAGAAGATTTTTATCTCGATGTCTTTCTTAGACATCGATGGTACAACAGCAACCAAAAGCGTGACAAAACATCGCTTTTGGCTGCGTGGAACGCGTTCGTCCAAAACGTAAAGAATTTCGGACGAGAAGGGTGGCTCAAGAAACTTGAGGCGACACGCCTCAGGTTCGAAAGGCGAACGCCAACCGGTGCTAGGTACCGGTTGCATTGTTTATCGAGTGAGGCAGACATTCCTTGCCTCACATGGGGAGACCCTTGTGCGAGTTGTGTTGACAACTCGCAGCGTGCACATAGGGATGTGTACTCCCTAAATTCGCCCTGGGGAAGGGCACACATCTCGGCTGAGATGCGTGACGCGATTGCAAACTTGCAATCCGTCTACAAGCGCCTAGGGCGCGTGTTTACCGATGGGCCACAGGACTCATCGGATGGGTCTCGTCATACTGGCGGACGAGACCTTCAACTTCCATCAACAGCTGAGAGCAGGGCTCCCAGCTGTTCCAAGAGGGTGCATACCCCCGCCACTGGACGAGGTAGCTCGTCCTTGATCCTGAATCGTCACGGTGATTCAAGATACGCTCCAATAGAAAGCTTTGATCACCGTGAGCATCCACCAAAGGATGTGGTGGAGGAGGAAAGACCTCCTCCAGATGATTCGGTTCACCATCTCGACCCTTACGAGATGGATCGCGCAATCGATGAATTGCGCGATGACTTGAAGCACGAGCGAGACCGGCGCTACGCTTTGACCGATACCGTGCGGAAGAACCGCAAGGCTCACGAGGCTGATCGGGCGAGGGATCGCGCCGATTATGCCACAGCGCAGCTACAGGTCGAGCGGGATGTCCGCTCCCTATTCGGCGAGCTGGCGACAGCTCGCGGGGAGATATCTCGGTTGAGTTCCGAGGTATCATATCTGCGCGAGCAGACTGGTCGTCTGGAGCGCGAACGCAACAGCTTGATGGATGTTCTTGAACGTGGGGGATATCTCCATCGGAAGAAGAAGGCTCGTACTGACGGTACGGCCTGAGCCTCCCCACGTAAAACGTAGGATGCGTGCGCATATTACGTGGCAATTTGAGTGTGTATGCATTGCCCTTGCGATGCAACACTCGAAATGGCCCAATGTATTTCGGCAGTAGTTTACTACTGCCGACACTAGTGACTGAATGTCCGGGTAAGTTTATCGTAGACAGTAGTACTAGGTCGTTAACCTTAAATGAAAGAACATTTGCTCTTCCATTCTTGTCTGCGTTCCGTTTCTGACGGTCCACCGCATTTGCGATGGAGTCCTGAGCGAAACGGACTACCGCTTCTCGAGTCAGCAGGAAGTCCTCTGCCGACTCTTTGTTTTGTCTTTCAGTGCGCTTCGTGCGCACTGCTAAGAGATTGCTCTCTTCTTCAGCGAGGTTGTCTTCTTCCTCGCTGACATAATCGTTGGCGATGCTGAATATACCAGCATCGTCATCATCATCCGAATCAATAATAGCGTCGTCGCTATTATTGAGATGATCTTCTTCATCGATGTCGACTTGATCGACATCGGCATCATACGTGACGACGTTTGCGTCGACACGTGATGAGCAAGAGCCAAAACGGTTTTTGCTCGAGCGAGTCCCTCCCCCCTTATCCAAGAGTCACACTCTATAAGGGTGGGCACTCGTGGATGGCGTAGGCCATTCACGTAAAACGGTGTGTGCTGTGTTGAAGCATGCACCGAATTATTGATGGCGAATTCCACCATGGGCAGGAATTCGCTCCAACTCGGAAACGAGTGGACATATCCTCGAAGAATCTCTTCGAGGACACGGTTCGCACGTTCCGTCTGACCATCTGTTTCTGGATGGTCAGAAGTGGACATCTTCAATCGTGTTCCGAGAGTACGGAACACGGTTTGCCAAAATTCCGCCGTGAACCGAGGGTCACGGTCGGATACGAGTTCACGGGGTAACCCGTGGAGTCTAAAGACCGTGTCTAGAAAGACACGAGCACAACCTTGAGCCTTGATTGACTCAGGGACAGCAGCAAGATGGACCATCTTGCTGAATCGGTCAACAAACACAAGAATACCATTATTCTTGTGAGCGTCTTCGGGAAATTCGAAGACGAAGTCCATTGAAACGGACTGCCAGCACTCTGTCGGAACAGGCAGAGGCTGCAATGGTGCACGGGATGAAGGACTAGGTTTCACCCGTTGACAAACTTCGCAAGCACGTATGTACTTGCGAACAAACTGATACTGGCGGGGCCAGTAAAAGTCGCGACTTACCGTGAGGTAAGTCTTTTCTCTACCACGATGGCCGCTTGT